GGGGAAACAGCTCAATGAGCATCTCCAATGAGCATCACCACAGAGGAGCCAATCAGCTAGATGTTGCTGGGGCCGCTGTGAGCCAATCATCAGCCGGCAGCTGAAGTTCGCTGGGGCCCCTTCGGCTGTGGCTCTCAACACTGAGGCACTTCAGCAGGCCAGTTAAGGAGGCAGACATGTGCAAGGCTCTTCAGGGAATGGTGAGTGTTGCTGTAAGGCAGACTATGTGAAGGAGAATGGTGCTGAGAATTTAACAGTAGATTGTGATCTGAGGGTGATAGATCCCTGGGTGGTAAGTTACAGACTTCTACTTGGTTCTGAATGACTTAAATATGAATTTGGTAGTGACAATAAAGTCACCACTTGCTACCCCAAGCATCTTTAATCTACATATTCCATTCAACACAAGAACATGGTGCTGTTAGCCTACTCAGAAGTGTGTGTCTTTCTCATTAGGAGTTCCAGGTTGGTACTAAACAATCACATGTTTTCACATGGTCCCCATGTTATTAACAGAAGAGTGACTGGGACAGCAAGTACAATTTGTACCTAGCACAGAATTCTACTCATGAGAAATTAATTGGCCTGCCTAGGGGTAAACTTCATTTGAGTTCCTGGCCTCATTAGCTCTCTAGTCAGCCAACAGAGTTAGAATCTAAATGAAATTGCCATCTGTCTAGATAAAAATAGAAAAGCTCAAAGGAGCATATACATTTTCCAATATATAGTAATTATTGACTCTCTCTCTCTGGTACCAGGGATTAAACCCAGGGGTGTTTATCCACTGAGTCACATTCCCAGGGCTTTTTATGTTTTATTTTAAAACAGGGTCTCAGGAGTTGCTTAGGGCCTTGCTAAGTTGCTGAGGCTGGCTTTGAACTTGTAGTCTTCCTGCCTCAGCCTTCTGAATCATGGCATTACAGGTGGGACCCATCACGCCTGGCTATTATTGACTCCCATTTTTTAAATTTTCTTCTTTAAAAAGTCATTTGAATCCTACAGATATAACTCAGTAGTAGAGCACTTGCCTAGTATGAGCAAGACCCCAGGTTCAATCCCCACTTTTGCAAGAAAAAAAAATCATTTGAAATTTAATTCTTATTTACAGGGGATCTTAAATCTAAGAACTTAGCTTAGAGTACAGTTCATAGTATATGACTTCATTAATGTTGTTGATATTTTGATCTCTTTAGATCCATACATCTTTTTACATCATGATTATTACTGGTCAACAAAGGTACTAGTTTTATTTTTTTATAAAACTTAGCTGATATTTATAAAAAAAAATTCTCCATGCATAGGTGATGTAAAGTACCAAAATTATTTAACTGAGTGCTAAATTTTGGTACTTTACATCACCTAATCTTTTTGACAACTTTGCAAGATATTTATTGTTAGCCCTCTATTTTAGTCAGCTTTTTTTTTTTTTTTTTTTTTTTTTGATGGTGCTGGGGATTGAATTCAGGGCCTTGTGCATGCAAGGCAAGCACTCTGCCAACTGAGCTATATCCCCAGCCCTTTAGCCAGCTTTTGCATTGCCATGACCAAAATATCCAACAAGAGCAACTTAGAGAAGGAAAAGTTTATTTTAAGCTCATGGTTTCAGAGGTCTCAGTCCACAGAGGGTTGATTCCATTGCCCTGGGCGCAAGGTAAGGCAGCACATAATGGGGGAAGGCCATGGCAGAGGGAAAATGCTCCCCTCATAGCACCCAGGAAGACAGGGCACCTTCCAGAGCGTACCCCCAGTGACCCATCTCCTCTAGCCGTGCCCCACCCGCCTTCATTTAAGCACCCAGTCAGGCCATTCAAACTAGAATGGACTAAATAGGTTRTAGCTCTCATAATCATTTTACCAATAAATATTCCTGCATTATCAGAAGCTTCTTACATTCCAACAATAGCACCCTCTTTCCACAGATGAGGTAAAGCATTGCCTCTCACATGTGAGGGACAAAGCTGGGTTTCTATGCTTATGCTTTAGAGCCTGGCTCTGAGCCCAGTCCTCCCTGTGCTAAGGGTACGTGTGTAATACCAAAGGACCAAGTCACTTAGAGTTAAATGGATTCCAGGGCACTTCTAGTTCATGTTACTAATAAAATAAATCTGTTAGCTRTGAAAGGCTTTTGTGTKTTTTTTTTTAAAACTATCAAACTAGTTACCATAGAATGAGCTGAGTATTGCTTCTTTAGTCTAGTAGTACTAGCCCCCAGGTTGTCTACTAGTATTTTTTCCATTTATTAAAATTAAAAATATTGTATATGTCAATTAATGTAACATGATTTTTTCCCCCTGCCCCATAAACTCCTTATGGACCATTCATAGCATTCTTAAAAATCTTAGAGATACTATTCACTGATTAAAATCAGATTTTACAGCTGGGCATGGTGGCACACACTTGTATTCCCAGTGGCTCTGGAGGTTGAGGCAGGAGGATTGCAAAGCCAACATTAGCAACTTAGGAAAGCCCTAGGTAACTTAGTGAGACCCTATCTCAAAATAAAAAGGTCTAGGGATRTGGATTAGTAGTTAAGCATCCCTGGGCTCAATCCCCAGTCCAAAAAAGAAAAAAAAAATAGATTTTACAAATTATTTCATTTGAGCATTCCATAATCCCATGTATTACTTGTTTTATGTGGTTCTGATGATAGATTCAGAATCATTACGAACTATTGTTATTATCAGCCTTTTTCCAGATTTATCAGTGGTTGCAGTGATGCAGTGATATGATAAGTCATCCCTTAAGATGTCTTTGAACAGAACTACTAAACTACTTCTCATCACAGTTTAATTTCAATAAAAATTTTTCCCCCCAAAAACCCATGTCATTAATCCTTCAGCCATACCAAAGAGAAGAGGGAGTTTTTATAAGCCCAGATATTTAGTGTAGTTAAAATTTAGGGTATGTGAATGTTTCTGGATTTAAGAGATCTTTGGATCAAAGAAATTTTAATTTAAAACAGACAAAAATTTTGCATGTTAACAAACCTAGAATTGCAGGTAAACTTTGAGGAATTTACCTACAAAATCCTATGAAAAGCTAGTTTAGAAAATCCTATGAAAACCTAGTAGATAAGCAAAGAAATTTATCATAGTTCTTAAAAGAGCCCCAGCCTGAAAGGCTGCACAGCCACCCTTTCTCTGCTCTGCTGCTCCCACCCCAGGAAGTGACTATTACTTCCCTCCTTGGAAGTCATTTCTTGTTCAGTTTTTCCTTGCCCCTCACCTGTGTTAAATGCCACTCCTTTGAGCTCCAGCTTTGTGCCCAGCCCTTTCAGCCTGTGCTGCCACAGGAACATGCCTCCCCTCTAACGCAAGCAGCCTGAGCACAAGACCTACCTCCTGCATCCTTCTATCCCAGTGGCTGGTGCGTGTCCGTGGGTTCTCAGGTAATGGTTGTGAGACTGGATGAGTTCTAAAGTCTGACCTCTTCAGCTTTTCTGTTGTATGAGAACACAACCAGTTCTTGCCTTCCACTTGTGAAGTTAGCTTATGTAGCATCCTGTCAACTGGAAATCATTGTAGTTTATGAGGAATTTAGTTTGGATTCCAGCTACATTTCCCTGAGCTGTCTAACTTTGGGTAAGGCACTGAATTAGTTTCTCTAGGCTTTGGTCTTGAATCTTTTCAGTGACAAATTTAACCAGATGTCTCCATGTTTCAATAAAGTTGCAAAGCTGTGTGGTCTGCAGGCAGAGTAGCATAGGAAAAGACAAGTCAGCTGACAGGTGGAGCTGAGCCCCTCCCAACTAAGTGATGATTAACCCAGAAGCCTGTGTTTACCAAGTGTTTGTACATATCCCAGGTATCTTGGAGATTTATGTATATGATGTGCCAGGGGCAGAATGATGCTGAAGTAACTTGGAATTATAAAGATCAAATTATGTTGGTATAATTTGTATTAATTATATTTTGCTGTATCCTCATATGAAAATTGATTATTTGCGTGTGGTATACAGGATCATTAAGATATAACATTAAACTAATCAAGATATTCTCCATATCTTCATCATCCTGGTTAATGAAGTATTTTGGAAAGCTACATCTTGAAAAGTTTGCATTATACTCAGGAAAGATAATTTTATTTTATTTTTTTTTGAGGAGATAATTTTAAATATGTTTAATGTTGGTCAGTGTTGCTTCAATAAGATTAGTAAATAAGTGCAAAACAATATCAACAATCTAAACTTTCACCTTTTTGATATTTTTTCAAGAATTCTGACTCTTGATATTTGTTCCTTTTTATCATATACTTTCAGCTCACTTAGAAGCTAGCTTTGAGGAAGTAGAAAACCACCTGCTGCATCTGGAGGATTTGTGTGGGCAGTGTGAGTTAGAAAGGTACAAACATACGCAGTCCCAGCACCTGGAGAATTACAAGAAAAGTAAGAGGTGAGTTTGAAAAATTTGCCATAGTATTCATTTAATCTTAAAGTTTTCCACACTGCTTCACATGCTATTCTTTATAAGTGCAGACTGACAAAAGACATACGTTTCAACATGTAAAGCTCATTCATAGATAAGGTTTCCAAAACTTTTCTTTTTTTTAAGTCACTGTCTATTGCTATTTTATGAAGATGAGTTCAAAAGGCTCAGGATAGGCAAAACATGCATTTGCAGTGTGGAATTGGAGGACAGCAGATCAAAGGACAAAGTTTTCAACAATATAGGAGCCCTGGCCGCTTTCCTTCCAATGGCAAATGGCTGAGCTGCTGTCTCCTTCCTTCCTTTTCCTTGAGTTAGTAGAGCTGGAGGAAAGAAACTGAGCACAGGCTGTGGAGAGGGGCTAGCTGGCTGGCTGAATCTTGCTGTCACATTAGAGCCATGGAACCACAGGCAAATTAATCTCCCCTGTCATCAATGTTACTGATTTGTAATGTGGATAATAATGTATCTTTCTCAAAGAGTTTTGAGGCTTAAGTGAGGAAATTGTTATTTAATTCAGTTAGAGCTCTGTATTCCTTATAATGATTGTATCTATCAGCAGGCCAACCTGAMATGGAAATGAAGGAGAAACCTGAGGGTTACAGCTTGCTAAACCAGCTGTTGCAGGCCCACAGTGGCCATCTCAGATAGGGCTAGAAGGTGCAGGGTGGTGTTGTCTGAAGTTCATGGGGAGGTCCATCTGTAGTGCTGGTGAGAGGGCACAGGCTGGCTGTTGTGTTTGCTCAGCACAGCAGGATCTAAAGCTGCAAGGTAGGTATTTAGAAGGGAGAAAACACTTATGTGACTGGGATCTGACTGAGGCTGAAAAGTAGATTTGGTGGAAGAACACAGAGACATAGGTTGAATAGAGTTCACTGTTAGACTTAAGATTATTAAGTTGAGTGGTTCTGGGTCTAGCTGGTGGCAGTGGGAGGATTGGGTTGCTGATGTGAACAGAAGGTACTGGTCACTGACAAAAAATATTTTAACAGAAAAGCAAAAGCCTAATGTGTGAAATCAGTGGATTATCACATTGCTGTTAGAGTTTCTAGAATGATGTCAAGGGATGTGGCAGAGCAGAAAATAGTGATTTTGTGTCAGAGTTCTCCATCAAGTCCATGTTTCCTTAGGCATGTGTCTTAAATGTTAATGAGCTGAAAGAATCATCTGGGGAGAGAGTTTAAAATGTAGATTCCTGGACTCCATTTTTAGAGCGCCAAATCCAAAGTTCATTTCAATGGTTTTGCTAAAAATAAGATTTCCAGGTGATTCTGATATGGGTGGTCAAGGGACCCCATTTTGAGAGTATTGGGCAGGGTGTTCAGGCTGCACATGGTGGAGCAATGGGCTCTGGGTCAAATGGATGCACAAAGTTTGTATATGTTTGAGTCCTTCTGGAGGTGGTTTCTATAAATTTCATTTTGCCCACAGAGACTACAAGAGCATATATGGCAATATTAAGAATTTGTCCTGGGGCTGGGGATGTGGCTCAAGCGGTAGCGCTCTCSCCTGGCATGCATGCGGCCCGGGTTCGATCCTCAGCACCACATACAAACAAAGATGCTGTGTCCGCCGAAAACTAAAAAATAAAATACTAAAAAATCTCTCTCTCTCTCTCTCCCTCTCTCACTCTCTCTTTTAAAAAAAATTCTCTCTCTCTCTCTCTAAAAAAAAAAAAATAATAATAATAATAATTTGTCCTCATAGTAAAAGGACTTTTGATTGAGTGAATTACCTAGAGGATTTCCAGACTCATGGGTGACAAGGAGAGAAGAGTAGCAGTTATAGTGGTTAGGCTAATCTCCTATTTTAGAAGCCAAGGTAGGGAAATATTTTGTTATGAATAAGTTAGCCATGGAAGTAATTTCATTTATGATGCAGGAAAAATTCCAAGGAACATGGCAGGAAGGCTTGAATTAATTAATTAATGCAATTCTGGAATTTGAGCCCAGGACCTCGTATGTGCCAGGCAAGGCTGTACCACTGAGCTATATCTTCAGCTTTTTTTTATTATTATTAAATTTTTAAAAAAAATTTAGAGACAGGGTCTCACTAAGTTGCTCAGGCTAGCCTCAAATTTACAATTTTATCTCAGCTTCTTAAGTAGCTGAGATTATAGGTATGTACTACTACACCTGCTTTGGCTTAGAATTTTGAATGAAAATTTGGCAGGAGGTTGAATCTGGGTATACATCATGTGACCCTGAGAAATGATCATCTGTAAAATGGAGATGATAATGAAACTTTATAAGGTTGCTGTAAGATTCAGTTAGCAAAGTGCTTGGAATGGTACCTGGCATCTGCTAAGTACTCTGCCAGTGGTAGCTAGCTAGCACCAGCTAACTTGAATTGTTAAGTGTACAACTGTAAGTAGATGGGTATTCCATTTTAGAAAATACCCATTATGGCTAGGCATGGTGGCACACACCTGCAATCCCAGCAGCTCAGGAGGCTGAGGCAGGAGGATCTCAGGTTCAAAGACACCCTCAGCAACAGGGAGACTAAACAACTCAGTGAGACTCTTTCTCTAAATAAAATACAAAACAGGGCTGGGGATGTGGCTCAGAGGTTGAGTTCAATTCCCAGTAACCACCCCCTCCCCCGAAAAAATCATATTTTTTAGCTGTTGGAATATAAGAATTATATGAATATTATGATTTTTCCATCAATAGGGGATGAAATTTGACTGTTTGAAACGTAGAATATGATACTTTAGTATACACTTCAAACTTTGATAGATTAAGATGATTAAATAAAAAAGAAAGCAATAAGATTTGGAGTTATGAGACATGTTGTGATGGTACCCTCCTGTAGTCCCACCTACTTGAGTGCTGAGGTAGGAGGATTTCACTTTCAAGGTCAACCTGGGCAACATTCATAAATACATAAATAAATAGATAAAAAAATAAATCAGGCTTGGGATGTAGCTCAATAGTAGAGTTCTTCCATAGCATATGCAAGGTTCAGGGCTCAGTCCCCAGTACTAGATTTAAAAAATAAATTTGGAGCTATGAAATTTTATTTATCATGCATTTTTTAACCCTCACCCAGTGACCTAATGCATTTTAAATTCTGTATTATAATCTGTTACTCAGTGAAAATTAATTTAGTATTTGGAAAACAGCATTACCTATAATTTAAGTAAAAATCAAAATGTACTGAATAATTTTTTTGTCTTACATGATTTAATTGGATAAGTCTTAATGTATTTTGTATCATTGAAATGGTAGACTATCTGTCTTGTTAGAGTTAGAATTGTATAGCAACAGTATTGTCCTGACTCCTCCCTGGTTCACTGGTTACTAATTCTGTATCCTTGGGAAAGCCATTAACTGTACTTCATACATCCTCCTGTTGTAAAGTTTTGTTTAATCTAGAAATTCTTGGCTAGCATTTTAAAGACTTTTTAAAAACTCTCTTTTTAATGAACTCAGATGTGATAAACAAATGCTGATAGTGCCTGTTACTCTGAAATATGTAAGAAAAATAGTGTGCTAATTGGGGACTACCAGTTTATAATCAGTAACTGAACTCTAAAGGTAAATAATGGTAAATACTTTATACTCTGATAGCTAAAATTTTAAAATTACTTTCTATTTCTCAACAATAGCATGAAATCCATGTAGAATATTATACAGTTTTTAAACCTAAGAATCTTGATGAGATGTTTCAAGGGTGAGAAATTTAATTCTTTGTCTAAGACTGAGAAAATTTATGTATTTGGATATTCATTTAATACTCATAAAATAAATAGTTAAGAAATGTCAGTATACTTTGCATCTAATTGTCTAATAAGACATTGGACTTGTGATATAAATTTAAGTCATATTTTATCCTGAGACAATTATTACGGATTCAATGCAAAACTATTAAAAATAAAAGAAATACAGCCCAGTGCAGTGGCGTCTGCCTATGATCCCAGCAACTTGGGAGGCTGAAACAGGAGGGTTGCAAGTTCAAGGCCAGCCTCAGCAACTTAGTTAGGGAGACCCTGTCTCAAAATAACAAATAAAAAGAACTGGGGATTAGCTCAGTGGCAGAATGCCCCTGGGTTTAATCCCCATATTGAAGAAAAAAAAAAAAAGAAAATGTAATTTGGGTTGTTGTGAAAATCCTTGAAGTTCAAGCTTAAATTTTTTCTCTTTCACTTGCTGTCAGTTTGACTTTTGCAATGTCCTGTTGTCAGCTTTCTTTCTCTTTCTTTCTCCCCCCGCCTCCTGCCTTTGGTACTGAGGATTGAACCTGGGTGGTTAACCACTGAGCCACACCCCCAGCCCTTTTTATATTTTATTTAGAGACAGGGTCTTTTTTTTTTTTTTAACCAAACGATTTATTTTTATTTATTTATTTTTTTAGTCATACATGACAGAAGAATGTAGTTTGACATATAATACATACATGGAGTGTATATACATCAATCATATTGTCTATTCTGCTGCCCTTCCTATCCTCCCTACTCCTCCCCTCCTCTCCCATCTTTTCTCTCTATCCAATCTAATGTGACACACTTTTTTTTCTTTTTCTCAACACAACATCATATATGTATTCTGTATAACAATGAGGTTCTCCTTCCATCTTCTGTGTAACTCCCCTTCTCCCTCTTTTTCCCTCCCACCTCTCTTCCCTATTTAGTGCTAGTCTTCTTCTCATGCTCTTCCTCCCTATTCCATTTTGAGTCACCCCCCC